TGATTTCTCATTTCATAGTCTATTGTTTAACTTTACAAGTAAAAAACATGTTTGATAGTAATTTTTATTCTTATGTTATTATTTTTTAATGTGTAACTATACCTGTCCATCATGACCATGATGAGCCTTTAAATCAAATCTGTTGAATTTAATTTTAGTCATCTACTGAGTCCAGTTACAGCCTAAATGGTTCACTAAACCTAAATGATGCTGACACTCACCTGAGAATCCATGTTTGGGACTGAGCTTAAGTCTCTGGGAGACTGTCCGTTTTACTGGCACTGAATGTATTATGATCATGTAGGACTGTGGAAACCATTACAGAATGAATGAGGTAATTCTTGGATGGCTGAAACCTAAAGAAGATAGAAAAGTAGACAGCAATGTAAAGAAACAAATAAAAATAAATAAAGACATAAAAGAAAGGTAGGGGAGAGGGTGGCGTCTAACGGTTTCCCCTCTACTTCAAACAGTGCTCTATAAACCATGGAAAGTTAACCAGCAGCTTCTGAACAAAAGCAACTGATTGTTATCTGAGGATACTTCTACAAATCAGAGAGCTGATGGTAGTGTAAACAAACAATGCAGCCTCAAAGAACACAGTTGAACACATGTAAACGGTGACCTTATTAAATTATTCAAAGCAAATCAACTTTTGTTCATTTTCCACAAGATCACTTTTATTAATATTTGTGGGTGAGAAATGATCTCAGCCTAATTTTATAATTGTTTGCCTAGTTGTTACTGTGGTAAAATGTTTGTTTCTTTATGCATGTATGTATTTAATCAAATTATTGATTAAACCGTTTTTTTTTTCTGTATGCAGTAACAAGAGCACAATTTCTTAAACCATTTTAAATGGTGATCTATTTTTATAATTGTGTGGTTTTATTTTTTTATTCACTTGTTTCGCCTTTTATTATTGACATTTTGATTGTTTAAAATGATTGATTAAACTATTTTTGTATAAAACAAAAATAGCACATTTTTTAAACCATTTTAAACCTTAGTTAAAAACTTTAGATTGATCCAGGTGTTGAACAGGCATGTTTCAGTTCACATCACCAAACAGTCAAGGAAAGAGAACTTAGTGAAATGGAAAAGCAATGCAGTTAGTATAAAAGAAATGCAACCCTCTTAAAGCACCTCACTTACAGTAATACATTTTAATATCCACATCTTCAATTTACTGTAAAAGAAACAATGAAAAATGGAAATGCACAACCTTTCATGACTAATATGACCTGCTTCATTTCCTTCTCTTACAAACTATTCATCTCAGTGAAACATCTCAATGCCATTCTTATGCAGATCCTAACGACCGCACTGATTCACTCTCCAAGGATGATCAAGAAAATGACAAGATCATTAGTGGCACTGGTTTCACTGACTGTATAGGCTAGTTATACTGAAATTACTGTTCAAATTTTTT